CCCCCTCAACTGCACCGCCTCCGGCGACGACGGCGTCAACCAGAACACGTACTCGCGCTTCTTCTACAACCGCAACTCGGCCGACTCGGTCCTCCGCGTCGCGACCGCGGGTCGTCCCTTCATCAACAACAACCAGGCTATTACCTTGGCTCCCTTCAACCAGGGCGACTGCTAAATTCTTTCTTTGGCCGGTCTTTGAAACCGGTGTTCTTTCTTCTTTGCAAAACAAACGACAGCCTACGAGGCCTAGAATCTCTGTACTTTTACCATGATTGGGCGGATTTGGGAGCCATAATCATGTACTATATACTTTGGACCCGCGTAATGGATAGCTCACTACATACACTCGTTACAAATTGAACACTTTCTTTTCTGATACATTAGCCTTCAAAGACTTTCCTGATTACGTTGTCGTACTGCGACTTGAGAACATAACTTGATCTATTCCTGTTGTCATCAAAAGGCTAACCTCTCGGTATAAGACTAGCATCAATCGTAGTTGACCAGCAAGTCTGAACATTGAGATTGATGCATTATTGAAGAGAATACGGGTCTTTTGCGCTTCAGCGCATGTTTTCGGTCTCAAGGCTACTTGGAATGGTGAGTGGCCAGTTTTAGTAATGTAGAACCATGATACGACTATTCTACGTGCTGACATTGCCGGCAAATATTGACTGAACGAAAGAACGTGTCATAATGCTTCGTTAGAATTAAACTCACGATGAATCAACTGTTGTATTAAAACCAAGAAATGCATTTAGTAAGCGGGATACATGGAGACACAACATCGAAAGCTGGTCTGCCAAGAATTCCAACTGGGCCGGCATTAATCCAGTTTCTTGACCACGATCGACAATGCGTTCCGGCCCTTCCGATCCCAGGGGTTCCGAAGGGCATTGCGGCTTTTGTTCCAACATTCATTCGATCTAAATCTCGACAAACTTGAGCTTGCCGTCACCATCCTCTTCTTGACGATATCAAGGTCTCACTGCTGAGCTGAGGTTAGACACGCGCGTCTATCGTTGTCGCTCACGTGCCGCTGTTCGGCAGATTCCTGGCTCGGGCGGCGCGGGGACCGCCGACCGGGTCCGCAACCGGCCGGGGCGCAAGATCCAAGCCGGAGGGAGCCAGCCCTGCCCCGTGGCCCGTGGCCCGTGGGCCAGGAGGCCTTTGCAGGACATCGGAAAGCCACCCGAAAATACCTACCTCGGCACGCTTCGATCCATTCAATCTAGAATACAATTGGCAATGCCACAAACCTGGATGACGAAGATGGCTCATCAACCGTTCGTACGCCGACGGCAGCTAACATCGGAAGGGAGACCAAAAAAAAATAGAGGCTGTGCACTGCCGTAGTTCGTAACTTTGTACAAAGTATTCGTAGCGTGCCCACTTTCCGTAAACATGCTTTTGATCCGTCCGTTCGGTAGCTGTGAGCCACGTTCTCATAGCATCGAACCGGCGCCCGCCCGATCGTACCTTGATTGAGGTGTCGAAAAATAGCAGAGCAGGTGCCGCAATCGAGGCTGAAGCTTATAGCCTGATATCGAATCATTGCGACAAAGCGGCTATGACGACCGAAACTTCTTTGAGTGAATTCTAGCATTGAAGCGGGAGCGGAAAAAGCTCGGACGGGAAACCGACAATGATGCAGAGGCCTGAAGGTGCAGCTACGGATACCTAGGACGAGTTAGGTATCCTAGCTCTCATAAGAATCTTGCTACATATTGGCTTGCAGATTTGATGTCAGCCCTAGTCAGCCGTCGACTGTGGAGGTCACTCGTGTCTGCACAGCTTGTAGTCATGTTTGACGTTGACGCCGTTCAAAGGCTCTAAATCGAATCTTGATGCGTACAGTCAAGTGGTTCGATGGCGGCCAAACCGAGGGAAGAGATGAACGGCAACCTAGGAGTTACTAGACCCAACTGAACGGATACGATACGCGCAACGGAAGCGAACCCGGCAACCGTCGCACTGTCCTGGTGCAGGGACCGCAAAACTGGAGCTCGATATGGAGGCCCCCGTCTGCGACGGTCAAGCTTTTTTCGTCTGAGGCCGCAAGGCCAACAATACGGAGAAGAGCGTGAGCCAATGGCCGGGGAAGTCTCCACTGAACGGGAGCTACGACTTGGATTTCCCAAAGTGGAAGACGAAGACGGTGGGGCCGTTTCTTCCATCACCGTGAGCTTTTTTTTTGTTTTTCTTTTTCTCCCCTCGAGGGTACGGCCATTTCACTTCTCCACTTTGCCAAGGAAGCTTCGCCACCACAAGAGGGGACCTTCAATTCGCAACTCACCGCGATGGAAGGAGAAAAAAAGAATGGAGAAACGGCCAATTTGGTTCTTCAATTTCAGAGTTATTGGCCTAGGTCATGACGGCGAGTCATCCAGATCATGGATGGATAATCGTCGCATGGCTTTGTCAGCCCTGACCGTCTCGCGCTCTCTCTCTCCTTCACGGCGGAGGGAGAGGCAAGCAATACTGACGAGAAGTACCCGCCGTATGTTATGTACGCTGTACTATTTACGCGTTGTGTTACGGATGCTTCAATGGCTGCGATACTGGATTTCGTTGCGAGATTGGCGTATGAGTGTGACATGTAAAATGTGAAATGCAGGGGGCAGATGTGGGCTCTTGGCACCGCCATGATTCAAGGGGAAACGAATTCGTGATGAGCCGCCGAGGGCACTCACAGCCAACAGGAGACGTGACGAACACTGGTGGAACGTGATGATAAACAGACTGAACCATCCGGTCCACGGGAAACATTGGATGGCGGGCGGCATGTGGGAAGGACGGCGGCAGGCAGATCCATGCCGTCCGATTGAAACCTGCGTCCTCCGAAGAAATGCTGCCGGATGCGCGTCTGAGAAACGTCGTCGTTGAGCATGGAGGCAAAAACTGCCGGCCGACAGGCGCTCCGCCGCTCGCAGCCGCACGCGGCATCTTGTTGGCCCAAGCTGGAAGGCTGTCGTGAAGGCAGCGAGAACCGGGAAGTCATGGCGTGTCTAATATGGTGTACGGAGCACTTAGGCGTGGCTTTCAAGGACTCGCTGACTGTGCAGCGGCTGACAGCCACACGAGTATCCGTCACAAGCAGCGGCTTGAGCTTGAGCTTCAGATCCAGGCATTGAATGCCAGACGTGCCAACTTGGATTATTAAGGGGACTCCGCCAAGACCCAGTGTGATGTCGGTGATGATGGCCAGAAAAGTGCTGGCGAGATTGGCACGAAATGAACAAAATATGGCGCCTGGCTCGCCTCGTCTCGCCTCACACGCCAAGGCCCGAATATACCAGCGCCGGCTTGCAAGCTGCGGGCACCGCATCGTGACTTGCCGCACGGCTCCAGACGGGAAGTAAGCCTGAAAACAGCAGGATCGTCGTCGCGCCGCCCGTTTTTCGTATCGGCATTCGTACGGTGCTCGTGGGTACGAAGCAACACTGCTTGCTGCCAATACACGTCCGGTGCCCTGCACGTAGACCGGGCCTGGCCATCAGAGACTCAGGGCTTCGAGTGAGGTCTCCAGGACACACAGACGGGGACTCTCGGGGGGTTGCAACTGTTGCCTGTAACGTCTTTCAGGGGCACTAACCATCGGTGAGCAAGGCCTGGGAACTACAGGTTAGCTGATGCGCATCAGATCACTGGTGGTCGGTCGATGAGTCGTGAATTTCTGAGGCACGGATGGGTAGGTACCTTTAGGTATGCACACGCACAAAAGTACACCAAGTGACACACTACCTAGAACAAGAGGGAGTGAGAGGGAGCAATAGACTCACTGAACAGGAATCGAAGGCATCGGAGCGCAGAGTAACCCGACGCTGGCTGGCAAGCTGCAACTCCGTACCTTACATTGCAGCGTCTTGGATTCTTGGCAGTGGAATGAGTCGACAGCGAATCAATCTCGATCAAGGGCCGAGGGAAAGGTGGAGCAGGATATCAATGCTGTCAACGGCCTGGGCCAGGAGAGACCCGTCTGTGGTATCGTGTGGTCCAATCATCGGCAAAGCTGCTATTTTCTGCGTCTCTTCGCCCCCGTGGAGGTGCATCTGTACGAATGTGCCTGTGCCAGAAACAAGAAACTCGAATCCAGGGAATCAAGCGATCAACTTGGGCGCCTCCACGTGTCGACGGCGGTCGGGCTCAGCCCAGTGGGCAGATGGATGGAGCGAGTGGAGGAACTGCGATGCAAGTAAGCTCGACCAGCAGCCAGCGTGGTCGTGCGTGCCCAATTCTTTCTGCCTGGAGATCAGGAAGCAATATTGTTATGCGTGGTGATGATGGCCAGAGTGTACGAAGATCCCGTTTGGGAGTTGATGGCAATGCAGCAGTCAACAAACTACCTTAACCTAAGGCAATTCGTAAGTGCAGGCAGTCACGCAGTGAGAGTCGTCACTCACCCAATTGCTGTAAAGGCAACTGCAAAAAGAAGAAGAAGGAGCAGTCCTGACGAAGTGGAGCCGCATGGCCCCTGTTTCAGCTCCGCCCCCCTGCTCCTTCCACCGGTTCTCACTGGCTTCCCACCTGGGTCCGAAATGTGGGTTCCTTCCCCGGGGCTGGCCGCTCCAAGTGCCCCACACCCTTGTCTTTCGCTCCTTCCCTTGGCCTGACATTTTTTTTTTGGTAGGCCGGGGCAGGAACAGGAGGAAACACGCGCCTTCCATTGGGTGAAGCGAGGCAGGCATTGGCCGTTTGACGATCCGGCAGCGGGAAAGGTGTGAAGGTCTGGACTGAAGAGGAAAGGCGCCAAGGGGTGCATCTGTGGCCTGCAGGAGCGAATGTTCTTTCTCAGAGGAAGGAGTGAGCCATTGGACCAAGGAGTGGTAGGTAGTGCTGTGGAAGCAGGAGCGAGAAAAGACGGTAAAAAAAAATAACATGGTCATGAAAAATAATAGTAAAAAAAATATTGGTGGCCGCAGACAGACGCGACGGTGACATTTCTCTCCTCTTGGCTGCTGTTCGCCTCGTACTTACTTAACAAAACATCTCCTATTCATATTTCTTCCTCCTCCTACACTCACTTTCTCCTTCCGACTCTTTTCCTTCCTCTGAAAACCGCCCTCCTGTCACTACTCTCCGCCACACTTGTTCGTCTTTTCTTTTCGTCCGACACTCGCTTTTCACCAGTTCAACCCCCTGATCACCGAATTCCTACTTCACGGTAGCCGTACCTGTGCTTACCACACCATCTCACCTCCTGGCCCTGGTCAACGTCCACACCATCAGCGCCCTTTTCGAGTTTAACTCCCGTCTAATATCCCAACCTCACACAAGGTCCCCCCTCCTTCTCTCACCATCTTCCCGACCAATTTCGTTACCCCTTCCAGCGCTACCGCTTCATATACCAAACACTCCCGCGCCAAAAGCTGCCTTACCGTCCTTACGTAGTACGGTCCTTACTCTTTTCGACCGACCATCCCTCACTCCCGCCGCCATCGCTGCCGATTGACGGACAGGGTCTGTCTAGAATCGACAAGTTAGGAGCATATCAATAAGCTCCTTCTCCCCTTCCCGCTCCCCTTCTTCCCTCCCACTCCCGGATATGCCACACCTCAACACCTCGGCCTACGAAGTTCCAACAATCAATATACCAACAAACGACTCCGGAGTCACGCCTCACATCATGGCTGAAGAAGGCGGCCACGCGCCCACGGGCGGTAATAACCACAACCCTGCGAGCGACAACCAGCACCACCAGGATTTCACCATCAAGCCGCGCATGACCGACTTCAACTCAGAAGAGATCCGCGATACCATGTCCCCTACGGGCCCCATGACTCCGAACCCGTTTAGCAGAAAGAACACCAGCATTGACATTGACGACTACTTCACTGGTCCTCGCGACATTCTCAAGCACTCCAAATGGCCTCTGTTCATGCAGATGCACGGCAGCATTCTGCCCAAGATGATCGTTCCCTTGATCTGGATGTCTCTGTGGGCTGCCGCTATCACCGTCATTGACAAGTACCGTACGACTATGGGTGTCGACTCCGTCTTGCTTACTGTCCTGGGTTTCGTCGTCGGTTTGGGTCTTTCTTTCCGCAGTTCTACCGCCTACGAGCGCTACGCCGAGGGTCGCCGTTACTGGGCTCAGCTCATTCTTGCGACACAGAGTCTTGGCCGCGTCTTCTGGATCCATGGTGGTGACAATGAGGGTATCGATCCGAGACAATCGCTGCTCCGCAAGGTTGGGTGCATGAACTTGCTCCTCGCCTTTTCCGTCTCCCTGAAGCACAAACTTCGCTTCGAACCCTACACCCAGTACGAGGATCTTGAGCATCTCGTCTCCCACATGACGACCTTTGCGCAAGAAGCCACGTCTGCCGAGCCCGAGAAGATGACCCTGAAGAAGAAGAACTTCTTCAAGGAGACCGGCGAGTACCTCGGTGTTTCTTTCGCCGCCAGCAACCCCCGCAAGACCATCAAGAAGGCCTCCCGTCCTCTCGGCAACCTGCCCCTCGAAATCCTCTCCCACATCTCTTGCCTCGTTGACAAGATGGTCGAGGATGGCCAGCTCAAGGTTCCTATGCAGCAGACTCTCGCCTACAACAACGTTGCCCTCCTGAACGACATCATGACCGGAACCGAGCGTGTCCTGACCACGCCTCTCCCCATTGCGTATGCCATCGCCATCAGCCAGATCACCTGGGTCTACGTTATGCTGCTTCCCTTCCAGCTGATTGACAAGCTCGGCTGGATCACCATTCCCGCCACCGTCGCTGCTTCCTACATCATTCTCGGTATCCTCTTCATCGGTCGTGAGATTGAGAACCCCTTCGGCGAGGACGTCAACGATTTGCCTCTGGAGGTCTACTGCGAACAGGTTGCCTCTGAACTGGATATTATCGCTTCGTTTGAGAAGCGTGACCCCTACCGCTTCATGGAGTCTTCCCAGAACCTGCCCCTATTCCCTGCCAGCATGGCGCCCTACCACATCTGGATGGGCCGTTCCGAGAACCGCGTCCGCGAGGCCATCAAGTCCAAGCATAACACCGTCTTCGAGTTCCGTAAGAAGGTCATCCTCGAAAAGGTGGCGTCAAGGGCCGGCAACACCGCAACAGAGAAGAAGCCTAGCAGCGAAGGCACCACCACTATTAACGGCGATCACAATGTCTAAACAGACGGCGTGTGCTTTCGCTTTGCTTCGAGTCTTTTCTTCATCTCTCCTCCCCTCTATTTGCATCAGAAAGGGTTTGGGCGAGAGCGGGTTTAGCGATTTGCGTCAAGGAGCATTTACGGCACGGAAAAACAAAAGATTCTTTCATACATGGCCCCGACAGGTGGCTTTTTGCGGCATAGGAACGGTTTCGGATCTTTCTTTTCACTGTAATTACCTGATTCCTGGATGACACAAGGACAGGTGTGGTTTTGAGCGCGGCATTTCCTCTCATGGCATTGAGACGACAACAGAAACAACATACCAAAATTGAATGCAAAACATTTCAAAAAGAAGGACTTTCTTCAGAGTGCTGAGTGAACTATATTGAATAATACGCATTCGTGTCTTGATCTCGCTGCTGACTCTCATACTCGGAATAGGCATTGCTCTTCCACCTTGACGACAAGATCCCATCCTCGATCTCGAAAGTCTGGGTACTAGGTATCAAACAACGGCGCGGGCCGCCCTCCGTAAAGTGGGTGTGCGAGTGGGTTTCCTCGGACCTCGATTGACTAGGGTCTGAGGCAGAACGTCAGACCAAGCGGAAACCAAATCAAACGTATAGTGTATGCGCACGACTTTTACTTATAGGTTACTTTGGATCGAAACCAGGGGCTATTTCCTCACCTGCGAAAACCACGACGTCGATTCATGGGCCGTTCTAGACTTCTGCGCAATGCTCGATCTTGCGACTTTGCTTCCGCCCTGGGGCCCGGCGAATGGTAGGCAACCCAGGCTCGGGGCATCGGTCATGTTCATACCCCGGTCTTGCAACCTCTCAGAGGTTTTCTCGCTATGGATATCATACTTGCCTACGGCAAGCCGAGCCGGCCGCCCGTCAATGTAGCGCCCGGCTCCGCGTTGTTTAGTTTGGGACCGGAAGATGAATTTTGACGCCAATGGAGGGGAACGCCACGTAAACGCCACGAGAATCAGTGTCTTATGACGGACCCGCCGGTGTAACCGAGATCTTTACATCATATCTGTCCACCTGCCCAAGCAGCCATGCCTGCCATGGTAGGGCTTTAATCTGACAAGGCGTGACAGGTCGATCTGGTCGATTCCGAGTCTTCGGACCAGATTTCCGGGATCCTATCGATCGCCCCCAAGGGTCGCTTTCTCCACTTGGCTGAAGACACCGTCGCGCCTCACTACGTATGAGCCTTGTGTGCGTACTTTGGTGTGTGACAGGGTCCACGGAAGAAATGGACTGAACGACTCATCCTCTACGACTCAAGTGTTAGTTCGAGGGAGGATGCAACGATTGGTAGCCTCGGAAGGGTTCATGTTTGTCGCACGTCGAATTCGGAGCTGGTTCGTGCATGGACTCTCTTATCGGCCGATATACCCTAGAGGGCGCCTTGTAGCGGGTGAGACATACCGCTGAGGAACAGAGCATCTTCAAGTGCTGAAAGAAGCTCTCAGGACGTTTTTACGAAATGCTAACAAGTTACCGGCTCCGATTCCGAATTCGGTGGTTCGAATGCGGCTATGGGAATGGCTACATGTTTCAGGAGAGGCGAAAGTTCTTCTATGATGAAGATGAATTTGGAACAGAAGCAAAAGTTGGACTGGCGTGCTTGAGTGCTTCGCTCTATCGAACCCAGGTGGGAAGAAGATCCAGCCACGAGTGGGCGCACTCTAAGCGTGGATCGGTTCGCCGGATCCGGAGCGACCATCGTGCAGCCGGGGACGCGGCCTCTGAGACATTCTCTTTCCGAACGCATGCCGGGAATGGATTGAGGCTCGTGTAAGCGCAGAACTTTAAGCCCGTGGCGTTCTTTTGCGCGTATATGTGGTAAAGGCCTTTCCTCTTTCACCGCGGGGGGCCCTACCTGTCTTTTCTGGTTCTGCTCTTCTCTTGGTTTTTCTCAATTCCTTGTTCTTGTCCTGAACTCTCTTGCTTTTGTTCGACTGCATGCTGTCATCATTCACACTCGTGTCTGAAAAGGGTAATATCAGTTGAGGGCTTCAAGTCCCCTAGCTCACAAGCAGCTCGGAGGGGCTGCGAAGCCAACCTCGCACTCGCTTCGAGATAAACGAACCGAAACACGACTGGGACTCCCGTCGCCCAAAGGACGGAACCCAGAACCCCGATGCGCGTCTCAGAATAAAGATTGAGAACAACGAGGGCATCGAAATTACTCAATGTTGATCTGGCCCGGGCTAGAAAAGGAAGACATGGACGTGTCTTCCAATGAGACCACCGAAGGAGGCTTCGGCTCGACGCAGATACAGTCGCTTTCCCACGAGAGCCTCGCCAACATGATGCTCGGCGTCATCATTGCGGTGCTCGTCGTCACGACTGTGTTTGTCGGGCTGCGGATCTACGTGAGGGCGCGGGTTATCAACAAATGGGGTGCCGACGATACGATGGTGACGCTTTCGTTTGCTACGGTGGCTTTCCATGGTATCATGCTGTGTTTGGGTAAGCCTTTCTGATATCGGACTCTTGGACGCTGTCGCGGAGAAGAGTTGTTCAGGTGGAGAGGACAATCATGATGGAGGAGTTCATGGGCTGACGTGGGTGAGAGGGACACAGGTACCAGATTCGGACTTGGAAAGCATGTCTGGATGACGCAGGCACAAACAATTGAGAAAGCTCAAAAGGTAAGCTTCTCCAAACATGGAAATTACATCCTTTCTCTTGATGCTGATTGCGCATGCTACAAAACAGCTCGCAATGTTCATCATGATGATCTACAACATCGCCTTCGTCACCATCAAGATCGCCTTCCTACTCCAATATCGCAAAAGCTTCCCTCTTCTCATGGTCGAGATGTTGTGCAACGCTGGCATTGCATTTCTCGTCTTGTTTGGCGTATCGCTAATGGTCTCGGCGGGCATCACGTACAGTTTGGTACTCAAGCGCGAGATGACGGATTCGCCCGTCAGTGTGTTGGGATGGTGGCTTGCCAACGCGTCAATACACCTGCTCACAAACATCTTCATCTTTGTTTTGCCGCTACCGCTGCTCGGGAGGCTGAGACTTCGTCGAGGAGAGAAGCTGGCTCTCGTCGTTTGCTTTGCCCTGGGGCTACTGTAAGTTGCAACTCCTCGATCCTTCATGAAAGCTTTGATATTAATGCGGGTTTGTTCCCGCCCAGAACATGCGCAGTATCCGTCATTCGCATCGCATATCTCCCAGGATCTTTTGACATGGTCGACATGACGTACGACGGGATATCCATCATCCTCTGGTCCGTCGTAGAACTCTCTTGCGCAGTCATCTGCTGCTGTATCCCCACCCTCCGACCGCTCGCAGAACGAAGACAACGAGGCCTGAATGACGACTACGACGACGCCACCATCTTTGGCGGAGGCATGTTCAGAGAGGACACGACTTTTGGCGAGGGCCCGCAACGCGTTCGCTCAGGTATGAGCGGGGTCAACAACGAGAGGATATCGTCGTCCATCAGCTGCGCCTCGGAAACGGGCATGAGGAAACCCGGTCCGACCTTTTTCTGGCTGCGCACGCGGAAGCAGAGCGACCACTCGAGCATCAATGGCCTCGACGACATTGAGCCCGTGCCCATGCCTCCGCACGCGGGGTCCATGATGGCGGCGGCCGCTGCCGCGATGCCGGTGGTGGAGGTTCACGGGGTCCGACGGGAGAGCGAACACGGCATCATCGTTGTTGAGAGTGAGCGTGTCGAAGGGGGCGTGGAGCGTGAGCGTGGTATTCCTCGACGAGCGAGCGTGAGGAGTAGCTTGCGGAGTGATAGCAGTCTCGGCGTGGCGTTGCGTAGGGATTTGAGTGTGAGGAGGCACATGAGCATAGCGTTGACGGAAAGGGATTCAGATGATGATGTGTACTATTTTGGTGTCAATGAGGAGGACGTGGACTTGGAATGCCCGACGCCACTGAGTCCGCCGCCAAAATGTCGCAAGTCGACCAGTTCTTGATGGGTCGATGGAGGTCTTTGCAGACTTTGTAAAACATATTGTACAGCGTTTGGGTGGGATGGTTTTTGATTCATTCATGGCGATTATGGAGTTTTGCATTCATGTGGCGGGTTCCAGGAGAATATCATCGTATAAGTTAATGATGAAGAAGATATCGGAACTATATGCATTGAAACATATCCGCTCAGTATCAGTCTACTCGCAGACCGGCATCCTTCAATAGTGGTAAAATCTTCTCGCCAAAGTACTCCAGATCCGGCGCAAAATCATAAAAGTTGATCTGAACACCATCAATCCCGACCTTGTGCAACGCATCCAGCTGTTCAACGACCTGCTCCGGCGACCCAATAATTTCAATATTCCCTCCCAAATTCAGCCCCTTATTCTCCTTGGCATCCTTCCTACCCCGCCAAGCATGGGCATCACTATCATACGCCCCGTTCGCCGTACCAAACTTCTTAGTGCCCGCCTGGATCTTGGTTCCCTCGGCGATGCTCTCCGCATACGCCCATGCCTCCTCCGGCGTGTCTTTCGATACAATGATCGGGTTGATGATGATCTTGACCCCGCTGCGGCCCTGAGCTTCGATGGCAGCCCTGATGTTCGCGATATGGGCCGGCAAGGTCTCGAGCGCGCTGTCAATGTGCGCCGTCCCAGGCGAGGTAATGAAGATGAGGTCAGAGTACCGCGCGGCGAACTCAATGCCTGCGGGCGAACCCGTCGCGTTGACGAGGATCGGGCGCCCAAAATGCGGCTTCGGCGTGACCCACGCATTCTCGAGGCGCCACGGCGAGGCTTTACCCTCGTACGAGATATTCTCCGTCTCGTTCCAGAGACTATTCACCACGTCAAACAGCTCGCCCGCCATCCGATACCGCTGATCATGCTCGATGCGCTGCCGACCAAACATCTCGTGCTCCACGGCCCGATGGCCCGTGACGACATTGATACCCCAGCGTCCCTTGGCGATGTGATCCAGCGTAGCGCCGTACTTGGCAATGTGCAAGGGATGAAGCGGCCCGTAGAGGACATGCATGGTGGAGATGAGCAGGATGGATTCCGTCACGGCGGCCATGGCGCCCAGGGCGACGAAGGCGTCGAGCGAGGCCTCGCCGTCGTAGCCGCCTTTGGGGAGCCATTGGGTGCGGCTGAAGGCGAGTTCGAAGCCGAGCTGTTCGGCGCGGCGGACGAGGGCGACGTTGTAGTCGAAGGTCCAGGTGTTTTTTGTGGGGTGGGTGGAGAAGTTGATGTCTTGGAGGTTGAGGAAGAGGCCTAGGAGGAGAGGTTGGCGAGAGGCTTTGCGGAGGGGGCTGTCTTTGAAGTCGAGGGGGCCTTTGAGTTCTGG